GATGACGAAGCGGAGGGGGGCGGAGAGGAGAAAGGTGAGGTGTCACGGGCCTGGGGTGTTGTGTGGGAGCAGCCAGTTCTTTGTCCTGAGAGCAAAAGGGATCTTTACCCAGGAAGCTGGGGGACCTTTACCCAGGAGTCGTTCAGCTGCATAGTGAGCAGCTCCTTCTCCACGGCCCAGCTCGCTCATCTGTAAAATGGGTTAGTAATCGTATCCTCCACAGAGGGTCAGGATCAAATGAGCCCATGTGAGTACAGACTTTACCTGGCCCCGGGCCCAGGCCCTCTGCCACTGGGGGCTCTTCCGCTATAAAAATATTAAAAGTTGATTGTATGACTTTGTTGGCATAAAGACAATTTTACTAACATTTGATAGTATATATTTCCTATATATGTAACGTTACGTATAACATTTTCTTCAACCTAAAAGTTCACTTTTTCCTTCTGATTCTTCTCTTCTGGCTGCACGGGGTCTTCGTTCTGGCACGCTGCTCTTGTTGCTCTAGAGCCTGTGGGCCCAGTAGTTGCGGAGCTCGGGCTTAGTCCAAGCACGAGGGATCTCACTTCCCCGACAAACCCGGGATCCCTGCATTGGGAGCACAGAGTCTTATCCACTGGCCCCCCAGGGAAGTTGCTTTTCTTCTGATTTTAAGGGCAATTACCTTTTCAGGGCCCCTAAAAGAACTGAGTCCCAGGCACATGCCTACTGCTCTTCTCCTGAGCCCTCAAAGTGGGGGCTACTCTTCTCTGCTGAGGTGCTCCCTCTCAGGGCAGGAGGGGGTGGGGGGGTGGACAACCGGAAGAGGAAGCGGTATCCTTGGGCCCCTCCCCCTGCCCTCCCCCACCTTCCCCTCCCCCTGCCCTCTGCCTCCCCCTGCACCATCTTCCCCCTTCCCCCTTCCCCATCCTCCCCCCACCTTCCCCCTCCCCCTCCCCATCCTCCTCCATCCTCCCCCATCCCCCACCCTTCTCCCTTCCCCCTTCCCCCTTCCCACCTTCCCCCTCCCCCTCCCCATCCTCCCCCACCTTCCCCCTTCCCCATTCCCCCTTCCCACCTTTCCCTCCCCCATCCTCCCCCACCCCCACCCTCCCCCATCCCCACCCCTCCCCCTTCCCACCTTCCCCCACCCCCATCTCTGTCCTGCTGCTGCCCTTGTTCCACCACATTCCGACCCCTCTGATCCTTCCTGAGCCTGTGGAGAGCCAGGCAAAGCCCACCCACCCCTTCCCCAGCACAGGCGCCCTGCAGCTGCCCATCGGGAGATGCCACTCACCTCCCTGCGTGCCCTCCTTCCCTCCAAGGTGTGCTGCCGCCGCCTCCCCCGCAAAGCACCCCCACATCATCCTCCCTCACTGGGATGCTTACACACTCTTCCCCACCCAACTTGGGCGCCCTCGGTGGCCCCTGGCACACAGCTGGCACCCAATTAAAATGTTCTGTGCAGAGAGGGATGGGGGGCGCGGAGTCCCCCATAGTAACTGTGACCAAGCCCTTTGGGTCTGGCCCTCCGCTCCCTTTCACCAGGTGGCGGCCACATGCCAGCCCCTGAACTGGGCACAAACTGGGGAGCGGCTCTGCCCCTACACAGGACAGCAGGCCCGGGGGGTTGAGGGAGGGGCCACCCCCCAGATGCCCCGGGCCTGAGGAGGTGTGGGGTGGGCAGAGGCGGGTGGGGTTAGGCGACTGCTCAGTTCAGCAGCAGAGTAGGGGCAGGGGAGGGCGGCGGGCTGGAGCGAGGCCCCCCAGCACGCCCGGCCTGGCGGGCGGCTGTCAGGGGACAGAGGATTCGGCAGTGACCGGGGTGGACCTCATTTCCACCCCAAGGTCACAGGCTCAGCGCTGAGGCTCGGAGCCAGTTAACTGTGTCCAGCCGAGCATGGCACCGGCACATCTCCGGGCGGGGGCCGCGGCCGGGCTGGACCACCTCACCCCGCAGGGGGATGCCAACAAGCAGACTCAGACGGCAGGCGTTGGGCCAGGCACCTCACACACTCTGGCCTAGTAGCCTCCGCTCCCACACCCCCCAAATCCAGAAGAAACCTCAGGCCCCCCTCAAAGCTCAGGGTCAGGCCTGGGCCCCACTCACTCACTCAGCCACTCACAAGCTCAGTGACCCTGCTTAGCTGGGCAGGCTTCGGTCCTCTGGGCAGGGCTGGGCCCGAAACCCAGTGCTTGCCCACATCTAACTCACCCACCACCCAGCTCAGCAAGAAGGCCCTTTCAGACAGAGGGGGCGTGCAGGAGTTAATAAAATGGGTGCTGACAACCAATCATCCTGGTTCAAGGCCCTTTCCCCCATTCAACCCATCAGGCCAAGAGCTTCAGTTTCCTCATCTGAAAAATGGGCTAATGACCAGTTGTGAGTGATTTAGAACCTCAAACCAAACTGAGGGAGGCAGTGGTGCAGCAGAAAGGGGAGGCTCTGGAGACTCCAGGCCAGCGTCCAGGTGAGGCGGGCAGGGCCAGCCTTGGCCGGGCAGCAGGAAGGCCTGGAACCGCCCTGCTTTGGGTGGGAGGCTGGACAGCACACGCAGGGGACCGCCTGTGGTATCTTTGGCACTGCTCCCCATTTCCCATGTTCCCGCCAAGCCTCCAGGTCGTCCCCCCAGCTCTGAGTGCCTTGGGCACCACTTGACCAGACATCCAGGCCCCTGGGGAGAGAGGGCAGGGGCAGGGTTTAGACCCCTGGGTTACTGCCCCTCCCCAAGTCCCCCCCACCACGGGACTGCGGGGCACAGTGGGCTGGGGGACGGAGACTCTGCAGAGCGGCCTCCTGGGGTGCCCGCTAAACTGGGGCCCACGTCCTCCGTGCAGCTTGTGTCTGAGCCCCCAGTGCTGGGCCTACACTCTCCCTCCTGTGGCAGGTGATGCCACCTGGCTATCTGTGCCCCCTCCCGCCAGCTCCGCCTCTGTCCCAGGCCCACCTCCCTCCCCAGCCCCTGGGTGTCCCCAGCCTGGTGGCCATCAGGCCAGTTCACCCCTGCCCCCTCGCTCAGTCAGGGCCACACGCAATGGGATTTCTTCAGGGGCTCAGGGCAGGTGAGCGTTGGCGTCTCCTTCCGAAGGGGACTTCGGAAACGCAGGTCAGCGCCCCCTCCCCGCCCACCCCTTGGTGGCTCGCTGCCAATCCATTTGGCATCCAGCCCTTCACAAGCATGAGCCAGCTCATTTGCGGCCAGTGTTAATTAAGAGAGAGAGGTGATGGGGGGAGGTGGGGAAGGGCCATGGAGGGCAGCTTCCGACAGCCGCCAGGACTGCCCTGAGGGCTGAGGGGGAGGGGGGCTGGACCCGCGCCCACCTGAGATGCCCCGGCCTCCCCCGCGGGCTCCGGGGCAGACCTGTCCAGACATCCAACCCCTCATCTCTGCAGCCAGCCTGCTGGGGTGGGGGTGGGTCAAGACTGCATCCGGGGGGCCTACTATGCGCTCTGCCTGTAAGTGGAGGAGGAAGGCCCCAGTACTGGCGGGGCGGGTGGGGGGACCTTCCCTCTGGACTTTGAGGTCCACCTGTTCTGTGGCTTTGACATCAGGCAGACCCAGTTCCGATCCTGCTATTGTGCAGCTCAGCCTCTGGGCTTTGCTTTTCTTATCTGTAAAATGGGAGCAATCGCACAGCCCCTGCAGCTTTGCTATGATAGTACATGGGGCCAGTCTGCCTGGCAAGGAGCCCTCGCTCCGTCACTGGCCACGTGCGCTCCCAGGGCAGAGCCCACAGCCCCAACCTTGGTGAGCCCAGCCCCGCAGCCTGCACGTCCACCAGGGCGTCCACCAGGGTCCATCTCTGGCTGCCTCGCCCGCCTGCTCTGCCCACCTGCACCCCCACCCTTACCCGGCGGCCCCCACCCCTGCTCTGCGAGCGCCCAGCCGCTCCTCGCCTCTCCATCTTAATTAGCTGCTTGTATTAATCTTGCAAGTAACGTGGCAACTTGCAGCCCTGGGTTTTTGGGCTGTGGAATTAATTATTCCCCAAGCGAAGAGCTGTCAGCTCTGGGAGACCAGCCACTCGGAGCCACCCAGCACCACTTAGCAGCCTCCACACAGGGGCCTGTGGCCTGACCGGCCTGGAAATGGCCCCACTCCTGGCCCGAGCCCTGTTCCATGAGTCCCCCTCCAGAGGGGCTGCAACAGGACCCCGGAAGGCAGGCTGGGAGGCTGGACCAGTGTTAGAGCGAGGCCGGCCTGGGAGCCAGGACCCCGGGGGCGGGGGTCTGAGGCACAGCAGGTCCGCTCCCCCCGCCGGCAGCACCTGGGCCTGGGGGACACACCCACCCCAACTCGCCTGGGTTCGTCCTGACAAGCCCCGAGCACGGTGCTTCACACCCAGGCAGCTCTGTGGTCAGACGCCGGAGCCCGGGCTGGGAGGGGCGTGGACCTGTGCGGCCCTGACATTCCAGCTGAGAGCCTGCCAGCTTCACTCTGCTCCGTGGGGAGGCTGGAGCGGGCAGCCAGCCAGGCAGGGCGCGACGGACAGGGCAGCTGGCAGTCCAGCTCCGGTCGAGGGAGGGGGCCTGGGGGCTGGCGGAGCCCTGTTTCTTCCTTGACCTTCATGCCAAGCCTGTAAGGTGGCCTGTCCTCCCATTTTACATACAGGAAAACTGAGGCACAGTGGCTCAAGTCACCGATCTGTTCCGTCTGGTTCCAGTCCCAGGGCTCTGGCCCTCCCTGCACTGAGCTGGGGTGGGGCCTGGACCTCACGGGTGGGAGCTGTGGTCTGCGAGGCTCCCCGCCCTGGTTCACAGTTCTCACCCCGCGCGCTCATGCCCCAGGCAGCCCTTCCCCTGGCTGGGTCCCTGTGACCAGAGGTCTGTGTTCCCGCAGCCTGTGAGCCACGCCCCTCTGCACCGCGCTGGCAGGCGGGCTCTGGGCACCGCTGGGGAAGGAAGGATGCGTGTGGCCGAGGGTCACCTGCCACGCTAGCAGCCCCTGATCGCCCCTCCACACAGCCGCCTGCCCCCCCCAGCCTCTCCCCACTGACGGCCTTTGTCTCTCTCTCTCTTGCAGCCAACAGCTCCCTGCTCGGAGGTGGCGGTGGTGAGTAGACCCTTCCTGTGGGCTGGGGTGCAGGGCTGGGTGGGTGGGGGTCGACCTCTCTCCTCCTGGCCCCTCGCCCACCTTCCGAGCCCAGCTGGTGGCCGTGCCTTCCCAAGGCTTCCCCCTCGTCCCCACTGGGCACCCCTCCCATCTTTCCACTCCGCCCTTCTTTACTGCCGCCCACCCTGTCAGCCTCGCTTGGCCTCCCACATCTGGAGACCAAGCCGGACACCTGAACGTCAGGCCTGGCTCCTGCACGGCTGGGTGACTGGGGTAGGTCCCTGCCCCCGGAACAGAGGCCGCCTGATCTGTTACCGGGGGGCTAGAAGGCCCCCTGAGGTTTCAGAGGGACTAGGCCTGGGTCGTGGGGGCATAGCAACACAGGTGTGATGGGAAGACCCCAGCCCTACCCCCTGATGCCCATGGGCCCTGGGCAAGTTTGCCTACCTGTGAGGGTGAAATGAGTGTCTCCACTCTGCCATGCAGCCTCGCAGAGCAGCTCTGTGTCAGGACACAGTCTCGTCAAGTCAGGGAGAGCTCCAGCATCTGTAAAGCCCGCGAGAAGGCGGGTGCATTCACTGTTCTAAGGCCCACCATGACACAGCAGGGCCAGGTGGGCAGGGCGTCGAGGTCAGAGCGGGCCCGGCCTCCAGGGACGCAGGCCCAGGTCAACTGGTGCTGGCGGGGAGGGCCAGGGGGACAGTCCCTGGCCCCCGACACCTGGCCAGCCCGGCCCAGGCCGGCCATGCCAGCCCCTTGCCCCCAGCCCCCGGGCCCCTCGTGGGCTGGCCTGCCCGCTGTCTCTGCTTGCGGCCCAATGATTGGTGAGCCAGGGGCCAGGGGTTAATGCGCCGTCGGATAAATCCCAGGGGCTGTGTTTACAGCGGCGGTGGAGGGGTCCAGGCCAGGTTTTAAAAGGGGGAAAAAATAAAAGGGGCATAGAAGGTCAGGAATAAATAAGAGCAGCGTTAAGAGCTGTCGGTGACCAGCCAGGATGCAGGATGGGGACGCGGGGGCGGGGGGGTTTGTTTGTGGTTGGAGATGTTTTCCCTCCCTCCCCCGCTTCCCCTCCAGCCATCCCTCAGGAGGTCACCACTACCCTGGAGGCCCCACAGGATGAGGGGGCTTCACCTGGCAGAGTGGTCTGTGCCATGTGGGCGGCGGGCTCAACGAGGCGCCCCTGTCCAGGCGTGGGGACCAGGGAGGCTCCCAGAGGACGGGGTGGGGACCCAGGGAATGGGTAGCAGTGAAGAGCAGTGGGAAGGGTGTGCTGGGCAGGGGGAACAGCACAGGCGAAGCCTGGAGTGAGGGAGACTCTGAAGATGGGAATGGTTAGAGCCCAGACAAGGGGAGGGGAACCGGGAGAGGATGCAAGGTTCTCAGAGACCGTGTGAGGAGCTGGAGTTTTAGCCGTTCAGTTAGGAGGACCAGCTTCCCAGGTGGAACCCGCCTGCCAATGCAGGAGACATAGGAGATGCAGGTTCGATCCCTGGGTCGGGAGGATCCCCTGGAGGAGAGCATGCCAATCCACTCCAGTATTCTTGCCTGGAGAATCCTGTGGACAGAGAAGCCTGGTGGGCTACAGTCCACAGGATCACAAAGAGTTGGACACAACTGCAGCGACTTAGCACACACACATGTAGGAAGACAAAGGATTACAGAAGCTGTGGGACTCGTAACCTAAATGAGATCATCAGCCCTCTTCTGCTAAAAACTCTTCTGGGGCTCTCGCCTCACTTCCTTCCACGGCCCACAAAGTCTCCAGCCACCGATCAGACTCCCCGCCACACTGCCTGGCCCTCCCCACTCCCTGCCAGCCTCACCACCTCCCTGCAGTTCCTGGAACACAGCCGGCCCATGTGTGCCACAGGGCCTTTGCACTGGCTCTTGCCTCTGCCCCAGATGCTCTTCTGCAGACAGTCACGGCCGTTCCCTTCACCTCCTATGAGTGTTTACTCACAGGCCTTCTTCTCGTGAGGCCCACTCTGACCTCGGAATTGCAGCTGTTGCCCTTACCCCTGCCCCAGCCGACACTCCCTGGGCCACTCTAGTCTTTATTTTCCTCCGACCGCCTCTCTCCTAGAGTGACGTATCACTTACGCGTCTGTTCCGTTCACGTTTGCTATCTGTCTCCCCACTGAGGACAGTAAAACTGCAGGAGGCTTGCTCACACTTACCAGTGGTCTGGCGCATACAGTCAGTGCTCAATGAATGGCTGATGAATGAACGAATGAACTGTAGATAAAGTCAGGGATGCCTTACGGGTCATGTAAAGGACTTGCTGACGAGGACAGTGGGAGCCACTGAGGTTTCCTGCAGAGCAGGGAGAGTGGCTCATCGGTGGCCTGGGGACCTCGCTCTGGGAGGTCAGAGGGCAGCTGCTCTGGCCAGACTGAGTGGCGAGGCCTGGTGAGGACCCCCGCGCTCGCTCTCCTGCAGCACTGAGGGTGAGGGGAGGCTGGAGCCAGCCCCAGCACAGCCTGACTGACGCAGAGATGGATGGGGTGGGCCAGGACCCAGGAGGAAGTGGGCCCGGAGTCCAGCCTTTTAACGCCGGCCGAGATTTATGGAGCCGCCGCCAGTGCGCGCTGGGTTGTCACTCTGCTAATGTGATTGGAACAAGGCGGAGGTGGCGGGGAGGGGACTGGGGTTGGGGGGAAGTGGGGCGGGGGCTGGGGGGGGGGCTGGCGCCTGCCTGGGGCGGAAATGGAAATGGGCCCCGGACCCCCAGGACGTCCTCTGAGCTCACATCTGCCACCTGTGCCCTCCCTTGCCCCTAGTCCATCCATCCAGCCTTAACCCCCAACCTGCCAGGAGGGAAGGCACAGGCAGGGGCAGCCCGGGCCTGGGGGGCCCCCACCTGACTGTCCAGACCCTGGTCTCCCCAGGGTCCTCTTCTCCCGAGTCCAGCCCTGCAGGGGTTCAGGCCACCCCACACCCTCCCATCACCACCCCTTTACCTATCCACCCATCACCCTTGCATTTAACAAGCACTGGGTCCCCCAGCCCCCGCCCCCAGCCCCCCTTGCTGACCTCCCCTTGCGCCTGTTCCCGGAGCATGGCACCCCTTTCAACATACGGGTGTTTGTTTGTTATTCCTTTCCCCCCAGGAAAACATACTCTCCCCAGGAAATAGAGTTCAGGGGACTCCAGGCCCCTAGACCAGCCTTTCTGGGGTGGTTAGTTGTGCCCCTGTGTGCGGGTGCCGCCTAGGAACTGGGGACCAATAGCCCCGCCCTGGGGTTCACATCCGGTCCTGCTGAGGGAAGGCAGCCATCTCAGAAAGGGGCTCCTAAAGGGGGGCAGGACCAGCCTGCAGGGCTTTGATGCAATGAACCCACAGCGTCTGCAACAAGCATGTTGGGGAGGGGGTCGGCTGACACCCCAAACCTCGGTGGGAGCCCCCAGGGGCTGCTCGAGCCCAGAGGACTTAACCCCAAGGGTTCAGGGCCCCTGGGCCTGCCTCACTCTGGGGTCGAACCCCCACCAGGCCCCGAGGCCAAGATCAGTGGTTCTGACAACACAGCGAAGGGTCCCTACTCCCCATAGCCTCCCAGCGCGTTTCTGAGAGTGGGGGGGCAGGGGAGGACACCGGTGTCAGATCCTCAGACTCAGGACTTGACTCTGCCCTCAAAGAGACCCACTTTGGTAGAAGTCTTCCAACAGAGAGGGCATTTGACTTGGGCCCCGAAGGCTGCATAGGAGTTTGTCAGGTACAGAGGGATAGAGAGGCCCACCAGGTAGATGACCCAGCGTCTGCAGTGGGGACCACCTGGCCCACTCCTGCTCCCGCCTCCTTCCTGGACAGCTTTTTACTGGCTCGATAAAAATTTTTTTTTTGAAAAAACACTCTGCTATTGTATGATTGCATGGTAAGAAGGGAGGCGGGCCCTAAATCAGGATGGGAATCGACAGGGCCCTGACGCGTGTCTCTCCTGTTTATTAGGACTGAAATGTTTACTCGGCGATAAGGAGCCGGCTTTCTCGTGGAGATTTGTGCGCTCTTTTTCAATTACCCCTCGTCTTTCTCTGCCACTTTCGCACTAAAGGGATAATAAATGTATCGGAGCGTTTCAATTATTCATCTAAATCATGACTGCGCCTGCCACGGCCAAGCTTTAGTGACAGATTAATTCAGGGCCGCCTTCCTCCGCTTGCAGCGCCATCTCTGTGTCCGCCTGGCCAGGGCCTTGAGGGCCGGCCCGAGGATGAGCGCAGGGCAGGTTGGAGCTTCATCCACACACACAGCCCCTGCCAAGGGCCCCCTCTTCCAGAGGTCAGCCGGCCGCCCTACACCAGCAGGCCTGTGAGGGTACAGCCTCCCTGCCCTCCTGCCCGTCAGCTCTGCACAGTCCTGCTCCCCAGGCCCACCCTGCAAGTCCGTGTGTGTGTCCCTTACACTGCAGGGTCCCAGGCACCTCACACCAGGGGGAAGCCAGCGTGGCCCGGCTCCTGGCATAGCCCTCCAGGCACAGGGCCTTTGCACATGCTATTCCCGGGCCTGAGGGCTCCTCTGCCCTCCCACCACACCTTCCCGCCTAGTTATCTCCATGTCAGGGCAGTCCCTCCAACCAGCAGTCCCCTAACACACACACACACACACACACTCACACACACACACACACACACACTCACTGCTGTTTCTCTATTCACCGAGGGGCCTGCAGCTCTGAGACACGGCAGACCCTTTCCCTCTTGGAAATCAGACTTGTGTTTGTGTGATTAAATATCAACTGCCCCCCATCAGACCCCCCAACTCAGGGGTAAGCACAAACGTCTGTCTGTCCGCCTCCCGGCAAAAAGCAGGTGCCCATTGCAGACCTGCTGGTGGACCGGCATGCCCGAGGGCATGTGCCCTCAGCCCAGCTGTCATGGCACAGGGTGGGACCCACCACTGGGGCCCACCTTCTCCTCTCTCCATGTAGGCACCCACGACTCTGGGAGGAGGGCACCTGCTACCCTCTCACTGTCCCTGAGTCCCCCTCAGTCCCCCTCGGCCT